GCCCAACTCTAGTTTAAAATGATATAAGATAAAATACATAAAATGAAAAATGTATCATCTGCTGGAATTTATTTTGTAATTAAATCATTTATTTGTATTTTCTCTTAAAAACACCATCATGTGCTCATAACTTTTTTGTTTTTGTCAGTAAAACATTAAATCAGATGTTCTAATCAGTGCTTCTTTACAAAACACTTTTTTACTCTTGAGTAATTTCTTGGATGGCAAATATTACTTGAGTAAAAATATTTTGAAGTGCTGCTCTTACTTGTTTTCTCTACCCACCTACAGTATAAAATCAACACCAGCTTCCCTTTTTATGCATCATTCGATTTAAGCTTCATGCACAATTATGTTCTTAAAACCATAAAGTTTTTTAATCTAATTATTAAGAAACCAAGACAGCTCAGACAAAAAGTTACTATTAAATACTTGCTGAAAAGTGTAAAGTAGAAGTACTCCAAACCAGACCATCTTTTCTTCCATCACTGACTTTCTTTAATGGAAACAACTTGAGACTAAAGAAGATAAAAATATTCACTGAAAAACTCGAAGAGCTAGAAACAAATTGCGCARCAGATGTTTTGATGTTCCCTAACAAGTGAAGCTCTGGGCTCTGAGTGGTTCTGCTCTCCTGGACTCTGTTAGGTCACACTCAGACCTGTCATCCAAACCATAAAGAGCAGAAAGAGGGAAACCTGAAGGAGGACAGCTCCATAAACGGCCTCACGTCTCCCGCCTGTCCCTCTCCCGCAGGTCTGCAGGTGGTACTTGTGCAGTTTGCGCAGCAGAGCCGTGGAAAGATGGCGGTTTCACACAGCTGTCAACTGGAATTGATCTAACTTTTGGTTTTAAATGTGGGGGATCCTCACAGACTGCTGCAGSGGGGGGAATGGGGCTCGCTCCTGCTGCTGCCCCTCTGCTCTGGGAGTGGTCTTTCCTCTACTGGGGATTTGGTCTGGCTGGCTGGCACTGAACATAATGCTGTGCCTTTCAGCCACTCCTCTCACAAGACATAAAAGTTAACAGGTGTTTAATGTCAGAAGTGTTTCATACAAGAGTCTGACAAATAGCCAACGACAGGCCGCTGGGAGGGAAGGTGGCATTGAGTCTTACAGTTTCTTTTCTTCGCCCCCTCCYCCTCCTGTAGTAGTGAAATAATTCTGCGGCTGAGTGGAGATTTGGATTGACTTTTGGCATCTGAGGCCGCGACAACTATGCAGCTAAGTGCAGAGAAATGTCTYAACTTTGTGTTTACTCGCCCACATGGAGTCAGGCGGATTGTTTGCAGTCTGTCAGCACCGGGTGAAGTCATGAAAACACCACGTTTGTACTTTTCACTCACGCTGAAAATCAAACTGGCATTTCTTGACGGAATGCAGATCGCTCGCCTCGTGACGCAACCAGAGCTTGAAACAATTCTAGCTCAATATCTGAAAAGTTCAGAGAGTTGGAGGCCTTTCTGCGTTTCCTAGATGAGCTATGGTAGCCATTTTGAATAAATGTTTACCATTCAGTGATTACTTCCTGAGATTTTCATTAAAGGAAACATATCGTGATTTAAAATCCTTCTTTTTCACATTTAAATCCTTCAGGTGGCTCTATATAAAGTGGAACTGCAATGCTCTGGTCTGAATTGGTCCTTATTGTAACTCCACAAGCCCCTCTTTCATCCCTTTTTTACCAGGCTTTGCACACTATCATCCTCCAGCTTCCAGACCGGTCCATTCTAGTTTGATAGGAGTTTACGACTATACAGCGGCGCTGAAAATTTTCATTTACAAATTATTTAAAGGGGSTGTTATGTATTTTTCTGGCATATAGTTCAATTACACAATCAAGTAGCTATGTTATGAAAATGCTGTATATATCAAAAATAAATCTGACTTTGCATCATGGTCTATCTAAACACCTTGAAATTAGCCTTTGACTCTTTAAGAACCTTCTACCGTTAGCTAGCAAGTGTTTAGGCAGCTCCACATGACTACCACGGGAGATTCAAGGATTTCAAACATGCATGAATGAGTCAAAGCAACACTCTGGGTATTCTTTTTTTAATCCATAAATTTAAAAACAAACAAAATAAAACATTTACAAAAAAAACACAAGTTATAAACAAAATAGAAAGAAGCAGAAAAAAATAGGGAAAAGGCTTATTATATCTGCCCCTGTTTTCATAAAAATAAATTAAAATAATTATATATAAAGAAAATAAAAGTCAGGTCCTTCCCAAAGAAAGATTCATATGAATACACTCTCATATTTCTTCTTGTCCATCCAGCCGTACACGTTTGAGCCAGAGTCTGATCCAGAGCCAGAGGAAAATGAAGATACTTTAGCTGATAAGTCCAGACCTTATTTGGCAGTTCTGTTGCAGCAAATTAACGTAATAGTTTAGAAATAGAGAAAACTGAACGTATGGCCCAAAAAGAATATAAAGATATCTACAGAATTCAAATGTTTTTGTACTCCTACTCCAAGTACACCACAAAATGCATTTAAAGGCTAAAAAGGTGGATTTTACATGATATATCTATTTTAAAGTGCCTATGACATGCCTACCCTTCAAATACAAAAAGTCAGAGAAAACATCTTTTTTACTTAAGAAAATTGACATAGTACTGATCATTTTACCCATTTTGTCACATAGCTAGCCTATTTTCTTTTGAATTTGGCTCAGCCAAAGTGAAACAGGAAGTGACGTCAAAGGGGAACTCAATAATAAAATCAACTGTCTGGTTTTTGTTTATTAAAACAAAATCATTTAAACTGTAACTCTTCATCTCTCTTTGAGAGCAACTCAAAATAATCTACAAAAAYATCAGATTCTTCTCTGCAGTCTGTGTTGTAACAATACTCTCGTATTCAGACATTCCCCTTTGACATCACTTCCTGTTTCTTCACATGCAAATATCTCAACAACTGTTCATCTCAGCGGCATGAAATTTGTTTCGCAATATGTTATCAATGTTATCGTTCCAAAAATGCATTCATGTTTATTTTAAAAAAAGTGATGTCACAGGCCCTTTAAACTCTATGGTTGCATGAAACATTTTTGCTAACAGACAGGGCTGACTTCAACATGTTTAAAGAGATTATGTGAGCGGTTGTGTTGGGGACAGATAGTTTGAACATTTGCTCCTGGAATTCTTCACAMAAAGGTTACTAATGGGTGCAGAATATGGGTGCATTAGCAGAGCCCCACCCTCCTGTGCGTTCTGAACACCTCTGAGAGAGATAAATGTGGCACTTCATTCATTCATGAAACAGAAGCTGCAGCTGCACAACTAAAAAAAAAACTGCCTCACAATATCTGAAGAATTTCTAAATGATCCTTGAAGTCTTCATAACTGCAGCCACTCATTTGCTCAAAAGTGCTGTTTTGCATGGGACATGAAACCACTGAGAGGCTTTGAAGGACGTCGTTATTTAGGTGTGAGCAGAGCAGGGAAGGGCCCAGGATAGGCGGGAGAGTAGGCCCCCCCCTCAGACCCCAGAAGCCTTTTATGATGTGCTTGAGCTGCGTGCATTATCTGTGGCATGCCAGGGGCTGATGGGAGCTCGTTTGTCAGGATGGCAGAGCAGAAAATAAACGATAAATCTTGTCTCCACACTCATTAATTGGACTGGAACAGCATGGCTGCTCCCCCCTCTGCAGTCTCGAAGTTTTGTATTTTTTTTTTTTTTTGCTGAGATGTTTTGAAGAGCTTCCAGGAAACAGGGGAACTTTTTGGGGTCTTGCTGTATTAAGTGTTCTGTAACATTTAAAGCTCCGTCGCATGCAAGGATACGTTTTCTGTGGGAAAGAGGGTTCAGCTGACTAAAAGCACACTTAAAGCTGGCGGAGACCCCCACCCCAATCCGTACCCCTTCTCTCTCCTTCCACTTTCCAACCCTGAAGCTGATTAAGGGAGGCCATCATGGTGGATCTGACGTTGATGAGAACTCTAGAGGGCATTTGGGAGCATTTACAGCAAATGGCTCTTGGCAATTTGGCAGCAATGATGTGCTGTGTGCCAGCTAAAAAATGAAAATAGCCTACAAAAAAAAACTTTTCATAATATTCGAATTTTCATAAATACATACCTCAAAAAAGTTAAAAAGACATTACCAGGGTAACTGGTGTGTTTATCCATAAACCCTCAGACAAAAGTAAGAAGAAGACAGGAGGGTGGAGGCAATGACCTCTAATGTAATGGCCTTTAATACGCCGTTTAAGTTTATTTCTTTACTGGAAATGTATTGGGAATCTCACCTCAGTGTTGCACTGAGAAAAAGAGAGAAAAATAGAACAAAATATAAACTTTCCAGGTAGAAAATTAGCTTCTCATCTTTCAAGATGAACTTTTTTTAATTGTTCTGACAGCAGCAGTTACTTATTTTTACCAGCAGAGGGAGCCAGAACGCATTTTTTTTGTTTAAAAAAAAAAGGGAAACTGCAGACCACCTGATCAGAACCAGATTTAGAAGTTTACAAGAGGAAGATGTCCTCGAGTTGGTGCAGGAGGATCACAACAACAAACAAACACACAAACAAAAACAAAGTGTTAAACAACTAACATTAGTCAGAAACATACAAATGTGCAAACAAATGCACGCAAAACATAAAATATGCAGAAATATAAGACCTTAAAAACATAGTATAATATTTAAAATATGCATATGTATACAATTTAAAAGTAAAATGTTCAAAAGTATAAAAAGTAAGTAAACAGTCTGATTGCAGGACCTTTTTTAATATGATTATTGACTGTGATTAAACAAACAAAGAAATAATCGCAGAGTTTTTATCACTTTAAATCAACAGGTTTTCCTTATTTTGTGCTTAAAGTATAATAAAAATACTTAATTATTTGACACGTTTGTATTTCTTATTATTTCACTAATAAAGCTTTWAAAAATGTTGAATTAGCTGCTTTCTGATGTTTCACACATCAGGTTTTGTTTGCTGTCATTTTTACTCCACACTCATTTATTACTTAACAAAATGCAGGTGGGGAAAAAATCAACATTCTTAGAGAGAAAAGTATTAA